ACCCCCCCCCACAAAACAAACTGTAACTAATAGTCTTCTGTTGTTTTCTCCTCTGTATGGGTGGTTGGCGGGTGCTCTGGTGTGGTTTGCTCCTTCTTTCCTATCAAACATATGTTGTCTTTATCTCCCCTCCTCCTTTTTTGTGTTTGTTACTCACTTGTAACACCTCTAATCTTTGGCACTTATATGACCTTATTGTGTTGCAAGTGCCGTAAAACACTTACTAAAGCTAAACTAAACTCTCCTCTGGGAAGTGGGTGGTTGGATGGTGCCACTGGCAGGTCGTTCTGCTTTTCTTTTCGTCTGTTGTTTCTGCCTGTCTATCTTACTTTTTCCTTGCACTACATGGCCGTTAATGTATCAATGTGCTTCTCTTAAATCAAGCAAAAACGAACAAACAACTCAACAAAACAACAACAATGAAAAAAACCCCCAAAGAAACAAACCCTCCCTACGTGCTGGTGGTTGGAGGGTGCCATTGGTAGGTCCTACTTCTTTTCTCTTCCTGTGTTGTTTCTATCTATCTGTCTTGCTCCCTCCCTGCACCATATTATGATGTTATTGTATCGATGTGCTTTTCTTTCCTCAAACCTCACCTCCGTCCGTCACCCTCACCTCCGTCCGTCGCCCTCACCTCCATCCGTCGCTCTCACCTCCGTCCGTCGCCCTCACCTCCATCCGTCGCTCTCACCTCCGTCCGTCGCCCTCACCTCCGTCCGTCGCCCTCACCTCCGTCCGTCGCCCTCACCTCCGTCCGTCACCCTCACCTCCGTCCGTCGCCCTCACCTCCGTCCGTCGCCCTCACCTCCTCCATTTTCCTCCCTCAGGACGCCGAGCTGAAGGACCTGGAGTTTGCCCTGGACTTCCCCCTGGCGAAAGTAGAACAGGATGACGTGTTTGACCCAGGTACTGACTGCCAAAATAACTGAAAAGAATGATCGAAGATCAGTAGCCTTACCTTATTTTGTTATGGAATGTTTAGAAAAATTGTGTTGAAAATTCTGCAGATGTACAGTGAACTTGTCTGGGACCCTCTACAACGAGCATACCACCATGGGAAATATGTGATCAGACGTAATTCTATTATTTCTTAACACCAGTTATAGACACTACAAGCTGGGCCCCCTTTCGATGAAAGGAATGATCGGTGCTTTAATATCAACTAAAAGTCATTGGCCTACTATATTTACACTCTACTGGAATGGGGAAATAAATCTTGAGAGATGCAAAAAATGAAAAGGTCTAGATCTATACTCTCAAAACAAAATGCGCCATGCGCCTCGCGAAATATCACTTCCGGATTTTCTAAAATCACAGAGATAGAAGCGTCGGCCTACAAAAAGCGATCGGCGAAATAAAGAAATTTAGGTTTTTGCAGCAAAACTGTCTCAAAACTGAAAAAACCAAGGGCGTCATGATTTGGAGAATATTTGAAAGAATTGTTTGGCGAAAACCGCATGTGGATCGATGCAGCCATGAAAAAGCCTTTTGAATAGCAAAATTCGGCCACCACAAATAGATAATAGAAGACAAACCATAATGTACTGTTACCTGTAGGATCGTGTTTGTTAATTTGTCTTCAGTCTTTATTACTATCCAGTTAGCTATCCTTTTAAAGAAATTAGAAAACATGGGTGTAGACGTCAATTTGATATCATGGACTGGCATATTAATTCTGACCAACCGATTTCAGTACGTAAATTTGAAACTTTCTTCATCGACACACATTGCACGGGCCCCTCAAGGATGTCTTTTGTCACTAGTTTTGTTTACTCTGTACACAAATGAGTGAGGCCAAATTAAGAACAATGACATCAAGTTTATAAATATTTGCGGGTGAATCGACCACACTTGGGGTCATTCAGGCTGACACTGACAAAACCGATTATCGAAATTTTACTTGAAACTTCTCGGAGTGATTTGAAACTCATAGGCTGCTTTTATTTTTTAAAATCCCAAGAGAACTTGTTGTTGCTTAAGAGAAAAAAAGGAATGTGCCCCCGCACCTGCTCTGAATAATAAAAATGAAAACTTCGAGCAAGTGTCAGATTTATGTATTTGGCGTTACGATAAACAACGAACTTGACTGGCACTGGCATGTCCACACTTCTCTCCTGCTTAAAAATGGGACCAAAAGACTGGGTTTTTTTTTTCTCCTGAAGCGGCTCGTGTATTTTACAGTTGATAAATCAATACTGCTCTCTGTGTTCTATCATTCAACCACAGAAAATATGAGGTGGGCGCTTTAGAAATAATTAGCATTTTTTATTATTAATATTATTATTATTGTTATTATTATTGTTATCGGGGACATAAAATATTTAAAATCATTTACTATCACAGTGTAGATTTATGTAGAGACAATAAATGTTAAATCTATTTTGGAGCTTGATCTTTAACTGCTTGTGCCATGTTCTCCAATTCGACAGGAGTGCTGATCAAACAAGAGCCTTTGTCCCCTTCCCCGATTCTGGGCTCTGAGTCCTGTTCCGATGGCTTCTGTATCAAGGTGAGTGGGTTGTTTGTTGATTTTTGATTGTCTGAATTGGTATATTTGTATTTATGTTGTTTTAATGTGCCTGTTTATTGTTGAATCATTTGTGTATGGGCATGTCTTCAATTTTTAGTTTTTTGTATGTTTGTGTGTGTGTGTGTGTGTGTGTGTGTGTGTGTGTGTGTGTGTGTGTGTGTTTGTAGGCTCCTATGTATGTGTGTATGCTCGTATGTGTGTGTGTGTGTGTGTGTGTCTGTGTGTGTATGTATGTGTGTGTGTGCAGGTGTGTGTGTGTGTGTGTGTTTGTGTATGTGTGTAAGTGTGTGTGTTTGTGTATGTGTGTGTGTAAGCACAGGTAGGTTTGCAGGTGTGTTTGTGCGTGTGTATGTGTGTACGTTTTCTTGTGTGTGTGTGTGTGTGTGTGTGTGTACGTCTGTGTGTGTGTGTACGTCTGTGTGTGTGTGTACGTCTGTGTGTGTGCCTTCTCTTTCGCTCTTTAAAGGTCAGACCAGCGATATTTCTTGCCAAAAACCCTAGAGTTTGAGAGATATGATATGCGGGAACATTTAGTTGTCATTTAAGGTCAGCAACTGGTGGATGATTGGGGGGGGGGGGATCAAATCCTTTCCATGCCTTCGACCGGCTTGTTTACATATGCTGCTGAAAATACATAAGTCTGTCTGCAGACCAGGTGAGCTTGGCCTGCCCAGGCATGCAACGCTCAGCAGATGATTAATGAATTGAAAAATGAAGGAACGACCACTCTGCCCCCCCCCCCTCACCATAAAACAAGCCCTTTTCCTTAACCCATTTGTTACCTATTGTTTTTTTGAAACCTAAAACTTTGGGTGGATGGCGGGTGCTCTGGTGTGGTTTGCTCCTTTTTCCTTATTCAACGACTATCATCTTTATCTCTTCTCCTTTTTTTATGTTTGTTGCTCTCTTGTAACACCTCTGATCTTCGGCACTTATATGACCTGATTGCGTTGTAAGTGCCGTAAAAGGTTTACTAAAACAAAAACTAAAACTTGCGCCCAATTTTTGCGAGCTACGCTGGAGTGGTTTCAGTCATTCTACGGTCCCCTTCAAGATTATTCGCATGATCCCATTCGTTTCAATTATTGCAAATTTCAAATCTGACATCGGTTTCCAGTAAAATTCCATCCGAAGCTTTTGTAGTGCAGTTGTAAAATCCCATAGGCTGCATGACTTGTGGTCCAAGAGATTTTTAGTTTAGTTTTTGTAGAGGTTTTACGGCGCTCGCAACTGCATAAGTCATATGAGCGCCAAGGGGTGGATGTCAACAGAGAAATCCTTACAGGGAATCAGGCTTACTCTGCTCACCTCTCTAGCTTCAACAGCACAAAGTCTGCTTCGACTATCAAGGCATCCCGGAAATAACGGGTCACAAGAGTGTGACAAACATACAAAAGAAGAAGAGGAAAATGACAATAGTAAGGATGAGGAAAGAAAAAGCAGCAGTTCCCTGTTGTAGATCAGGCACAGTTATGAGCGTGACATTGATGAATCAGCCCATTTACAATTCTACTGTGCATGAACGAGAAATGTCTCCCCTGGAATAGCCTGAAGACACTTCAGTAAGTGGCACTGCCCCGGGGAGGTTCCACGAGATCGCCAAAATCAGCTGATTTTTTAGGACGTCGTACATTGCACGGAAAGGTTGCATCTTGCTTGACCTACAAAGTTTGACGTACAGTGTACGTGAGCTGTTACAAAGGAGTTAAAAAACAAAAAACAAAAAACGAAAACAACCCCCCCCCCCCCAAAAAAAAGCAACAATTTATGACAGTAGGACTGGGACTGACTGTAGAGTTTGTTCACCTATAATCTGTTGCTGACCTGTCTACCGTTTGGTGCCCTCAAACAGATTTTATTCCCCGATAGACATCCAAGTTTGTTGAACTTGGCAGACACCTGTTTTTTGCTTATCCGGATTTTTGATGTTCCTCTTTAGAGTCTATCAATAACAGAGCAGATTAAGATTTGATCTCATTTGATCTTTTCTGAACTTTTCCAATGGAAGAGAATACTGTGCTTTTATGGGTTTTTTTTTTTTTTGCAACATCGTATGTAACGTTACTACTGGACAGCTCTGTAAATATATTCCTTTTCTCCATGTGGTAAGATTTTTTTCTGAACTTACTTTATGGCAAATACTAATGGTCCATTGTGGGGGAAAAAAGCGCACGTGAAAAGCAAGTCAACCAATGAACTAGTTTTTAGAACGATTTTGTCCGGCTGAGTTTTGATCATGTATGATCGGGAAACGATCAGAGCCACCCACTTTCGAGAAAAAACTATCAAAGCCGCGCACTTTCGAGAAAAAACTACCAAAAACTATCAAAGCCGCGCACTTTCGAGAAAAAACTATCAAAAACTATCAAAGCCGCGCACTTTTTGACGATATCGATACACTTAGATTGCCGATTACATCCAACGGTTACGGTACGTTTGACAAAATTACTCTGTACAGCATCCCATCCAAATACATTCGTCTCTCTGCAGACGTTAACCGATGTCCAGACCATTTCTAAGCTGAAACTAAAAACGCAGACCAAACAGAAAGACGCTACCAAGAAAGAAGGGAGAATGTAACAAGTAAATGTACGCAGATGGACAATTCTCACAACTTCAATTTTTATCCTGAATGAGCAAGAAAATGCTGCCCCAACACTTTAAAGATCGCCCCTGTCCTGTCGATGTGTTTTTATACATGAAAAGCCTATTAATTCAATACAAAATCTAATCGATATCTAGTCCCAAGCCCAGTAAAACGCCGAGGGTACTTAAATATTGTTGGACGGTTCTGTTTCGGTAATTGGCAATCTAATCTGATGTTCTCCCGTATGATCTGCATCAAGGGAAATAATTCAATTTGATTGAGTAAATGCTCTTGCCAGATTGTGAGGGCTTTGTGTTCACACAGTGTCTTACTTTCCATCTCCCTTCACGGCTTTGGGTGCTCTGGTGTGGTTTGCTCCTTCTTTCCTATCAAACATCGATCGTCCTTATCTCCCCTCCTTCTATTTTGTGTTTGTTACTCTCTTGTAACACCACTAATCTTCGACACTCTTATGACCTTATTGTGCTGCAAGTGTCGTAAAACTCTTACCGGAACTAAATCTTCACGGCAGTTCACGGCTTTCACTATTTTTTTTAAAGCTTCCGGGAGAATCCTACCATAATTAGGGTTAGCATTATGGATCTCCAGCCTGTATACTGTATACGTCTGTGATCACTTTTTGAATGATCGTTGACCGAATTCCAGAACCGGATTTTGCCACAGCCTGACCAATTAGTAGTCCTGGGCGGCTAGGTTCCGGATTATTGAAAGCTAGGAATCATAGGAATCGACTCCGAACCCAATTATTTACTTTCTAATGATTTTTGGTGGTTACCTGGTTGTTCCGAACATGTTCAGGATTTAGGAACACCAGGAAGCATCAACTTTTATTATTATTTTTTTTATAAATTCTAAAAACAGAAGAAGATTTTAATGATTGAAATAACTGGTAACCGTTGGTTTACATAAAAAGGATTCGGAGCTTTTCTTTCTTAGCATTAATCGTGGAAATCGGTTCCGAAATCGATTCTTCGCCCAGCTCTGCCAATAAGTGCTGACAGCTTCCTTCAGTGGGGGAAAGGTATCCACAGCACTTAGCCCATGCCAATTGCACAAAAAACCCCCAATAATATGGAGCAGATTTTTCCCCCACCTCATCTCTTTAAGTCCAGCCTTTCTATGATTTGAATGCATATTTTTTTAACACTCAGAATTTCAAAATTTTTAAGTGGTTAAAAAAAAAATAAAAAATCAGCCCCTCCCTCTATATTAAATAAAATTCCAAAAGACAAAGGTTTTAATAAATTGAAAAGAAAAGAATGCTAGGGGGGGCGTCCCACGTGTGTTGTGGTGGGTCCCCTGTTGTCGTGGCCGTGTCTGTGGCTGGCTGTAGCAGACGTTGACACGACGGAGGACGACCGGACGCCAGCATGATGAACTATTACTCGGACTGGGCCGGCTACGTATCCGCCGTCTTCCCCAACACACTCGTAACTATTTTACACGTTTCAAGATCTTTACACGTTTCGGCGTAATAGTATTATAGAATGTGTGTGTGCGTGCGCGCGCGCTTGTGAACTGTGAGTGTGTTTGTGGTCTTTCTAAAGTTGTCCAGAGTAATGTTCTCTATTTTTCTTAAAAATTTTTTTTTTTCAAACTTTATTTTATTCAGTGGAGGTGCTGTCTTGAACTGTCAGAGTTTGCGTAATATTTCCACAAGTTATTTTGGTTAGAAATGTTAAAATGTGTCATAATTCACATTTGTTTCTTTATGTTATTAAGAAAGTAATGTGAGTACATGGGGACTTCATATTATGCGTTAGATTGTTGAGAAGCGCTCCTGAATTATATGTTCAAAGTTATCGACAGTCTTTGTCTCTAGTATTTGTTTTCTTTCAAAAAATACTTCAGGAAAACAGTTCGTAGAATAGGCTTAATTATTTTTATTTTTTATGTAAAAAAATCCAAAAATTCAAGAACTAGCTTAATAAGTTCAAAATACTTTGAAAGAAGCTTCCAAGAATTTTGCATTTTCAAAAATTAACTATCTTTTTATACTTAACAAAAAAAATCAAGAGCTGACCTTTTTTTTTGCCCCGTGTCCCTTTTTCGGGTGCCATGTTATGGATCTTATTCGTATCTGACAGTCAATGCCTGCGAGAACGTGAATCAAAAAATGGTGAAATGGTATATGCTTAACGCTCCTATCCACAATATTAGGTTATTTAAGAGGCAGGACCTCCGAGTTCAAATCTCCATCTCCGAAAGGGCGAAGCCAAATGGGAAATTCGTGTAAAGTGCCTTTCCCAAGGACACAACGTCGGGCCGAGCTGACGCTCGAACCCCCGAACCCACGACCTCTTTGTTACGAGTCCGGTAG